CTATATAATTCTCGTGTGGATTGTGAATTTTAAATGTTTTTAAGTGAAAATGGAGAAAAAGGGGATGCATTTTCGTCATTTGATGTTATTAATTCCAGAAACGACAGAAAAATGCATATGTACCACTTATGGAGATGGTGATATAGCTGAGAGTACATTTCTTAAATGGTTTGCTAGGTTCAAAAGTGGAAATTTTGATCTGGAATACCAAGAACGCTCCAGCAGACCTGCAGTCGTTGATTATGTCCAAATAAAAGCGCTGATTAAAAAACAATCGAGGTCACAGCACTTTGGACATCGAAGAAATACTCCTCATGTCTCAAATGAGCATTGTAAAACATTTGAAAACACTTGGAGTCACTTCGATTTTAGGCGCCTCACAATTTAACGATAAAAATATTTAAAGCATTACATTGCCATCTATGATTTCAGCACAAACACAACAAAAAATGACCCATTTTTGAAAAGAAGGTGATGAAAAATAGATTGTTTACAACAATGTGGAACGAAAAAGATCCTGCCGAAAACGAAATGAGCCATCATTGATCTGTTGTGTATCTGGTAGCAATATATTTTATAAGCTCCTTCCGTAAAATCATGTTGAATTCAGACAAGTATTTTTCCTAAATGGACAATTAAAAGGCAACAACCACCAAAAAGAGTCAGGAATTAACCAATCGGAAGAGTGGCGCCTTCCATCAGGACAACGCCAGATCTCATGTCTCTTTGGAGAGCCGAAAGAAAGTAATACAGCTTGGCTTAGATATCCGCCTATAGCCGCCATACTCATATGACCTTGCAACTTCGGATTACTCAACATTTGATCCCTACAAAATGCTAAATGAGAAAAACTTCAATTCTTTGGAAACCTGTAAAAACCACTTAGACCACATAATGACCTAGAAATATGCCACGGTCTCTGAGAATGGAATCATAAAGCTACCTCACAGAGAGCAAAAGTTGATGGAACAAAATGGCACATATGTGGTTGAATAAATCTATAAACAAAAAAACAAATATTGTCAACAAGCTTTAAAAAACGCTACGCACTTTTTAGCCTATAAAATAAAACTGGAATCCGTGCGTCAGTAGACGAATTGGTCTCTAAAAGGTTATTGTCATGAAACACAATATAATTGATCGTACGTAAGAACGTGGCATTTAAGAGTCATTTGTGTTATCATATATGTGTGTATGAAGTCTGTAAATCCCCTGCTTCTGAATTGAAAAACATGTTAACTATTTCAGCAACAGAGGAACTATTTTCTTTTGAAAACTTTTTTTTATTTCTTCTTTCTTTTTTTTCTTTTTTTTTTTTTTTTTTTTGAGCTTTATTCCACTTCCATCGCCCGCTTTTTCTTTCGATATTCCAAAACCTCTTTCATAAGATCTACCATCATTTTATCTACCCCAATGCCACTCACAGCAGAAGTTTCGTAATATCTGCAAATAAGAACAGTGGAAATTAGTACTGTGAGAATTAACTGTTAAGTTTCGTTTGTCACATTATGTGAATATCCATCCATCCTGAAAAGTAGATCCATATATGTTATATTAAAGTGAAACAAATACATGAAACGTGAAACTAAGTTGTTTTTTTGTTTGTTTTTGTTTTGTTTTTTTATGGTTTTTTATGAAAAAATTGAGTAAAGGAATGCAAGTTTGAAACTCGTCAAAAACTTATTCTTTGTTTCCTATGTACACTGTTTACTTACGATAGTAATTATTGTTGCTATGAAAAGCAACAATAATTACTAATGAAAAATTAATAATGATAGACAGGATTAAACTTGTTCTTACAATCCACTGAATGACTTCAATAGAATATTTGCACTTAGTAACAATTGTCCCATATCACTCCTAACAACAAATATATGGAGAATATAAACTATGTAAACATTTTGGTCACAGTTTTGATTAAAGCAATACATAGTTATCATTAACATGGAAACTGTTTTCACCAAAAGATTGACGCCTCAGTGTATGGTAATGGTTAACGATCTAGTTGATTATTACGGGTAGGTTCGATCTTCCCTGGGTACGCCGTAGTTGTGACCTTGTGCCTAACTTATCAAAATGTATTTTCATTATTTACATTCGAACTGATGTCATCATCATTGTTATTACCATCCTAACATTTTGGTAATTTTGCCCCACCAGCCATCTTACAGTTTATTTAAGAGATGAATTATGCTCGGTAAATATCTAAACTCTATTTACCAACGAGTTATGATTTTCAATCTATTAACGAAAACTGTTACTAGTATAGTGTTATCGATCCTGACCAAGAGACCATTTACTATGATCCGTATCAGACCAAATTAAGTTTTAGAAATATCCACTAGAGAATTTGAAAACGCGCTTCACCGAGCTTATATTAAGTAGAATTCAACTTACAACAAAAATTAAACTAACAACCAATGGCTTGCAACATGTTGACAAATGTACACTTCGGACTGATACTATATCAAATTGCTAACAATCCACAAAAAAACAATTTTGATATTTTAGATTATCTTTTAAGTTGAACAATTCTTTAGAAATTTTCTGTATGAAATCTTAAAGTTCCCAAGTATCTTCAACTTTAGGCAAATGCTTACCGTAATTTATTTTCAAGGGACCAGTGCTTCCCTTCCATGACAGAAACACGTCGATCTTTATTTAAGTCTATCTGAAAAGAAAAAATGAATCGCTATTAATGGCGTCCCATAACAACGCCATAAGAACTAATTATATAAAATTCGAAAGAGAAAAGACACCAAAAAATAGCAAATGTAGACTGTAGGAAAAGAAAATGAGATTAGTTATATAATAGGCAAAATGCAGCAAGTTAGCTCAGAAAGAATATAAGAACAGACATGACTGAATAGAAAGGGTCATACATTGGGAATTGTGCAAATGGCTCAGATTTGATCATGGCTGTGAATGTTATATGTTATTTTCGCTGTTTTAGCATATCCCACACACACGTGTCTGTGAGTGAATGTGTGTTTGTGTGTGTGCGTCTCTCTCTCTCTCTCTCTCTCTCTCTCTCTCTCTCTCTCGCTCTCTCTCAGATGTTCTCTCCATTCAAACTGACATTTGCCATTAAATTATTAAAGACTTTATTTACCAAGTTAAAATGAGACTAAAATTTTATTTCTTCTACGTCATCAGAACAGATCCAAAAAATAATGCCCGTTCCGACATGCAACCGGACTGTCTTAACACACAAAGGGGGTGGATACCCAGTGTATGGGTATGAGTAATGTTGATACATCATTTATTTTGGAATTTATGAACATATCGATCTGTATCTATAGTCATTTACTCCTATTTTTATTAGTACCAGGTTATTTTCGCTGAACCTAACCAGGATTTGAAAATTCCACAGAGAGACAGAATAATGTATCAGAATTTGGTATTCGCCATCTGTATCATTGTATGTGAGCAAGAATCCTGGCCTGCGTTAATGCTCAAGGATGCTATACAATATGATGTCTGCGTATAGTCGATGCACCACTTATTTGGAATTTTTGCAAGTACTGATCTATACTTGTACCTCTGTTATGTTTTCATTTACTGTAATCCAGATGTAATACCTGTACGTTTAATCTTGAGTAAAATATTTCAATTTTATTTTCTCATGAATATATATATATATATATATATATATATATATATATATATATATATATCAAATATGTGGTGCAGTTCAATTTATATTACAATGAAAGATGTTTGCGAAAGGATTTCCCCGTTTTATATCATTAACTTACTGTTGAAATTTGACTAATGCATGGAATAATAATACAACACAAAATGTACTTAGAACAAAATGTATTGAAACAAGAAAGTGTACACAATATTTACATATAGTCTTTTGTATATTCTTGGGAAGACCGTTCCTGGAGAATGTGTTGACTTAGTCGCAGTTGGGCAGAGGCTCTGGATTGAGTCTCTTGATTCCTCCTCTCGTCTTCCCGGTACCAACCATATTTATATGGTCGGTACTCCACTATGCAAATTAGGTGGATCCTACCACAACACTTACTAATCTTCTTTATTGTAATATATATATATATATATATATATATATATATATATATATATATATATATATATATATATATATATATATATTGTCATCCAGACATCGTCAGACTGTTTCGCTGTATCACAGCTCATCAGTGTGGCTAGACATCTAGAATGCCTCAAGCCGGGATCGATTTTACCCCTGGGGTTTCACCGCCTAGTAGAGAGGAAGGCGGATTTTTTACATACATATACTTCGAATAAATACGCCAATGGCCGAGAGGACTTAATTCATAGAAGAGCTTTGCAGTATTAGCAGTAGTAGTAATTGTTTACAAATTCGCGCTCTCTCAAGAGTGCTCGACCGGAATTAAATATATATATATATATATATATATATATATATATATATATATATATTTCTAAATAAGTAATGGATTTTTTTATTTATTAATCCACCAGATTACGCACACACGACAGTGCTGAAATATTTCCCTGGCCTAACCCAGTTCCCCAAATCGGTATTTCAATAACCAAATGTCTTTAAAAAAGTGGAGTGGTCAAGAACTTTTCAGTATCAACTTGTATATGTCTGTGTGTAATAATTTTCAATAGTAACACTCACTAAGAAATCAACTAAATTCTCTGTTTTGTAGTCTTCCGGTGACGTAGTAGAATTAGAATTCGCTGTTACTTAAGCTTAACAAGAAAACTCCATATTTCATTAATCTATAATTTTCCAAATGCATTTTACTTATAAAATATCAAAATCTTACATATTTACGTCATTTCTTTTCGTGGCACAGGTAAAATGATGATGATGGTGATGATGATATGTTTTAGAAAATTTTAAAAATGGAAATTCTACATGATTTAAGTTATCATGATTATGTATACAGGATTTCCGGATTTTGTTTTGAGCTCTCTCGAGCCTAAAAGCCAGTAATCCTTACCTCTGTTAATTTTGCATTGGAATCTGAACTTACCTTGTTGGCCAAGACACTCATTGTTGGACACTGGTCAGGCGGTGTCAATAATCCGGTTACTTCATTTATCCAATCGCTTAAATGATTAAAAGTTTCGGGTCTTGTAACATCGAATATTAAAAGGAGAATATCTGTTCCGGTGTAAAGCTCCTTCCGGACTTCAAAGTAATCGGGATCGCCAGAAAGGTCCCACAAATGAACGCGCACTATGCAATTAATAATAATAATAATAATAATATGAGAACTTTTGACGGAAAAATAATATAAGATCAAGCACGACAAAATTGAAACAGTGATGCAAAGAACTCCACAAATGATGTGGTTAGAAAGAATATAGAACTGTCGTATAAAATCATGTCCAATATTCTGAGATGTTGAGAGTCAGACAGGTTATAATATTCAAGCAAGCAACTAAGATTTTGTTAGAAAGAAAAAAACTCTGAAACTAGAAAAAGTACAAGGATCTTGTCGTGGAAGTTGTGGATCATTAGGTTCGTTGATTAGATTCTGTTTTACGGCGTTTCAACCCTGATGTGTCATTTTATGCCAACCAGGTGAATACATATATTACATATATATATATATATATACATTGTTATTTTCCCAATAGTTGAAGGGGCTCAATTTGATAGCTACAATTCGTTTTAAATAGACTGTTTGATCTGTCAATTTGAACCGTTTAAACCAGTCTTTCTGATATACCCATGAATTGACAAAATTTAAAGGAATTTAAAAATTCATATTTCTTTTAGAAATCGTATTATCTGGTTAGGGTCAACATCGTTAAACAATGTTTTTATATTTATAACATTGTAGTATTCACTACATTTAAACTTATAGCTTTTACATTCAATCAGAATGTACTTAACTATCGATCTATGATTGCAATGGGTGTATAGAGGTACGTCCTCTGCTCTTAGTACATGAGTTAGTCTTGTATGTTCAATACGGACTGGACTCTAGTTAACAGTATCTTCTCTTCGCCCTTTGAGTAGTCTTGTGTTTTCCTGCCTGACACGTGATTGCTGTTCGTAAAGTTTGTTTTCTTGGAATGTATCCATATTGCTATTCGCTTTTTATAAAGTCATTAATTTTCTTTTTAAAATCTGTATATGGATTTTTTAGATTTGTTATTTCCATGTTACAGTTCTTATTTTTACAGTTCTTATTTTTGTCTTTTTGCTAGTTCATCTACTTTCTCATAAGCCTTTATGCCAACGTGGCTTGGTATCCATGCGAAAATAACTTTCTCCAGGTTATTATAAATCTCCAGCGTGTCTGCAATGTAAAATTGTGTGTGTGTGTGTTTTCTTTTTTTTTTTTTTTTTTAGGGTAACCAGAAAGGATAAGGAGTCCATAAATATCCCAAACTACCTTATCAGATTAGAGGTCATCCTCAGGGCTTACATTTCCGCTGTAAAAACGTAAGTATCAACAGGCAGTCTCATTTGATTTTTTGTTACAACCATCCATGACAGCAGTTCCCATTTTATTTACAATTTTGGATCTATGTGTCTAAATTGCTCTCTAGCAATGATATTTGTTTCTCTCCACATTTATTTTGGTATTCACTTTGATGTGTCGATTGATTTTTTTTTATTCTATTGTGACGAATGCAAGCCCACACATATACGTTATTTTCCCCACTCCCACAACAGAACCCTAAGTAGACACGCATAGAAACACGCGTAGGCGAAGTCTAAAAATAGATTCAGACCCAGTAAGATAGCACATAAAAGAAACAACGCGATTGGTCAAAAGCAGCCAATGAGCAGTCGAGAAAATTAGGCGCCAAAAAGGAGACGCGCACGTGAAGAGAAAAAGAAAAGCAGCTTTATCGGAGAGACCAGCGGACGTAGAGTCACGCCAACGTCCATGTTCCAGGTCGCACGCTGAGACAACACATTCCCAGAGGCAGAGAAGCAGACCAGCCACTCAACTGCCAAGAATGTGAAGATAGTCCAGACGCAATTGACCTGAACCCCTCGGAAATCATCGCCTTAAGAAGAAATCATGAAATACAAATATAAGGCAGAGAATGTGATCCCAGTTGAGAACCTAAAGCTCCAGTCGTTGAATCAAGAATACAAGAAAAGAGACTATTATCGCGTTTGGTCGATCAATGCATATCTCAGATAAGTGTATACCCTAGAAACCCCCAGTATTACTATGATTCGCAGACACCCAATAATATTATGTTCTTGCACACACCTTTCCATATTCGTAAAACCAGACATTTGAGACTATAACCCTTTATATGCGTGAAACATTGCATTCGTTAATATTTGTCGTATTCCAACTAAATATATGTTGTAGCTAACATGATATAATGTCTTTATTTTCGTTGCCATATACATGCTCTTGTTAATTAAATATTATATTGTTCACCATGTTGTTTCGTTCATTTATGGTCACCGGTCGGTCGAATATGTTATTCCAAGAACCCGGGGAAACCTAATTCAATTAGACCATAATTGAGTTGGACTTCGCTTACTTTCTTTTCTTTCTATATTATCTGATGATGATTTAATGATGTAAGGGAAATAACCCTAATATTTATTCAGTGACTTCATAACGGAAGGTTATTCGGGGAACATAAGGTGCTGGTTGTATTCCCCATCAGCATATTAGTGTCAGACGGGGATCTATGACACTATCAATGTGAGATCTGTTTCAGGTTCAGTGGCCATCCATGGTGGTATATTTGAGTATCTGAAAAGTACTATATTGTCAGGTTTTCGAGTTATTTGTGTTATGGCTTCTTTATTACGGAGGCCAAAATGAGTAATTGTAGATAACTTGCTTGTCTAAAAGTGAGAAATACTTTTCTATGGGTTGGGTTATTCGAGATTTTGGAGTTTAATTCCATATTGAAGAGAGAGTTTTTTTTCCCCCGATCTAAGAAACAAGGAGGTTCGTTAGCTTCTACATACAGACTGTATAAAGGAGATGCGAAAAGCATTCAAGCATAGTCTTAGTCCTTGGTTTTTAATAGATAGTAGCTTCCTTAGATAGGATACCCGTGTTCAGGACGTAGGCGGTCATGGCCCTCACTAATTTTCTGTCCGTTATAGCTCTAACTAAATTTTGTACTTTTGCTATTTCTCCTTAGACCCTATTCCACCATCCATTTGCTGAAACCTATCAAGTATGTTACGGACTGTTTTCCTCTGTCACTCTTTCCCTCAATCTGCCCTGTGAGTATCAGATTTTCCAAACCCTCCTTCTACATTACAAGTCCCAGAGATTTCAACTGCCTCTTCCTGATATTAAGTATAAGTTTTCTTTTTTGTTTCCATTTTCTCTAAAACCTCGTCGTTGTTCACATGTTCAGTGTATTGTATCATCTTTCTGTAGACCCACATTTCTGCTGCTTCAAGTCTCTTCTTCATCTTTGAGGAGATTGTTCAGTACCCACTGCGATACAAGAGGACAGATATCACGTAACAGTTCAATACTCTTTCCTTTGTTTCTAACGAAATTTTTCTGTCTCTTAATACTTTACTTAGCTTTTGGAATGAATCTTTGGTCATCCCAGCGTGTCTTCGGATCTCAGTGTCTTCCACTTTCCACCCCCAAGTGTAAAAATAATAATAATAATAATAATAATAATAATAATAATAATATGTATACCAATAAGATGTACACTATTTAATACCATTTATAACAAGATATATTATTTTTACTGTTCTGTTGATCTTCCCACTAGAGTTATCTAGTGACCCAGATTGGGGATCAAATGACAACACATTTTCTCTCTTCTCGGTTTGCTTGCAGACTTCAACAGAGTTGTGATCTCAAACATTTCATTTCTTCCTCTGATCTAATTCTTCCAGTCGTTTCGCAAACATAACTGAAATTATTCTTAATGTTCCTGTTTAATACCGGCTACAGTCAATCTAGAGTGTACTAAAAATATTGGCATTTTTAAGCAAGGCGAGCAAAAGACCACCTCCACTGACTTTCGTTTCAAATAAACTAATTATGGCTTGTGAGACGAGCAAATCTTCCACTACAAAGAGATTTTCTGCGTCACTAAATACACACGCGCCAGATTTATGAGGCAAGATTTATAAGGCCAGATTTATGAGGCAAGATTTATGAGGCCAGATTTATGAGGCAAGAGTTATGAGGCAAGATTTATGAGGCCAGAGTTATGAGGCAAGTTTTATGAGGCCAGATTTACGAGACAAGATTTATGAGGCCAGAGTTATGAGGCAAGATTTATGAGGCAAGATTTATGAGGCAAAATCTCGCACGACTTAAGAATAGGATGTTCCCAAAATCGTCTCTGTATCAAAAAATTAGAAATTACTAACTCAACGCATTTCGTGAGAAAAAAAAACTTTACTAAAACGGTCAGTCAGTTATGTGCCATGCGTGATATACGTTAACCGATCATGTATCTTTCGTTGCATGACTGACGAGGCAGATTTTTCCCCGAAGTAGGTTGCCATTTATTTTTGTGGTAGATCAGTTGCCATCCAAAGCTATAGAACCCGGTCTGTCCTGCTATTTACCAATATTTGGGAGGAGGAGAAGAGGATTCGTACCTTTCCCAAGGGTATAGCACGGAAGTGAATGTAATGGATTCGAATGCAATTCGAACTCGGCTCTCTGATTCCTCAATCCGAGCCGCTATCCAGTACCCCACCGTATAAGTTTTAAAATAGACTCGCATTTTCTTAAAAAAATAAAAAAGAAAGAAAACTTTAATGATGCCATTATTTCAGTTTTAATTAAATAAAAGATATGTTAGTCATCTTGAAGCCTTTGTAATTAATGTCAGTCATTTGTGCTGTTCAGGCTTATAGATCTTATTTTAGGAAAAGATTAAAAATTAGATTATCTGTGAAATTTCAGCACTTTACTACTAATGATAACAACTGTAAATCCATTACTGCGCCCTTTGAAGCTATAGGTATTCGACTCCTTCAAAGAAGAAGGTGAATTAAAAATCATAAGAGGTAAAGATAATGAAAATTAAAAATAGAAAAAAGATAATTGTTTTTGATAACCCCATTTCTGGAAAAATGAAACAAAGAAGAAAATTATTTGTCACCTTAAGAAAGGAAGGTGATGTGGCAAGACTTCAACCAAGTATTTCCTGAAATTATTGTCCCTGGTGTCCAACTCACCTTTTCTTTCATCGACATCATGAATTTTGAATCCATAATCTACTCCAACAGTCGGGATGTAATCGGTGATTTTATCCTGAAGTGCAAAGAAAGATAAAAAAAATTCTAACTCTGGTAGTGAGTGAGTGAGTGAGTGAGTGAGTGAAAAAAAAAATCACGTGAGCGAAGAATGTGATTTGTATACTGGGCGAAGATTTCGAACAAAAGTTTTGGTAAAAGCGGGAAGTTTAAAAATTAAAACAAAATTACAATTATGAGTGTGAGCAATTTATATTTTAAGCGTTCATAGTTTGTAATATGGAACATTACCTTACACACTAGTAATATTCAAAACAAATAAAACCTAAGGATATCATGGACCGAGCATGTGAGCAACGATGAGCTCTTAGATAGGTTACAAACAAGGAAAAGGCTTATAATTAACCTTAGAAAGAGCCAGCTGAAATTTCTGGGACACATAATGTTGTGGTAGGATCCACCTAATTTGCATAGTGGAGTACCGACCATATAAATATGGTTGGTACCGGGAAGAGAGGAAGGAATCAAGAGATTCAACCAGAGACTCTGCCCGACTGCGACTCAGTCAACACATTCTCCAGGAACGGTCTTACCAGGAATATACAAAAGACTATATGTAAATATTGTGTACACTTTCTTGTTTCAATACATTTTGTTCTAAGTATATTTTGTGTTGCATTATTATTCCATGCATTAGTCAAGTTTCAACACATAATGAGGAAGGAGGGCCTGGAGAATCTGATACTCACGGGTCGAATAGAGGGAAAGAGAGACAAGGGAAAGCAGCGCTTGACATACCTGATGAGCTTGAGCAGGTGGATGACAGAACGTGGTCTGGGAGAGGAAGAAGAGGAAAGGAACTTATTGAGAACTGCAAGGGATAGAGGATGAGGTGGAGAGCCATGATCGCCTACGTCCTGAAAGGATATGGCACATAAAAAAAGAAATAGTACACACACACACACACACACACACACACACACAATTATTAGGTGTGGAAAAGTTCTCAGCACCGTTTTATTTTTTCTTGAAAACAGTTTGTTTTTTTTTGCTGGAAGTATTTACACCGACCTAATATTTAAGTGTCCATTTTAGAGAAGTCACTTTATTGTCAAATATTTAAAGAATGGGGCAGTTGTAGAATTTAGTTAACAGATGTATCATTTGTATAATAATTCGCGGATACTGAGTTGTAGAGGGTTTACACACACATATATGTATATGAACACATGCAGAAACTAGTAAAAAGGTTGGGGAATTTTAAGAGGCGAAATGACTTTCTCGATAAAAAAAAAAGAGTGATTTCGAGACTTATGTAAAACGCCTAACGAGAAACAGAAAACACTTCGCGAATAGATAAATGAATAGATTGATCAGAGATTCAGTTCTCTGAACTTCTGGGTAGCATTTGGTATATTATTTACATTATTCGGACTATTGTCCTCATCTTTGTCGCCATATTTATTACAACGTTTCGGCCGTTGTACGCTCCGGCCTTCTTCATGTGGTTGGAATGTCGAACTGAACCCTTTATTTTGCTCACTGGGGTAGACTGTCCTAGTTCCACGTGCCATGTTTAATGGATGGCAGTTATCTCCTGTTAATTTCCCTCTGAAAGTTCTCTACTGCCTTGACTGGGTATTGAACTCTGTCACTGGATCTAGCCAACGCCTTTATCCACTGTGTCATGTGTCCTTGAGGACATCTGTGTATGAATTTCTGGGGAAATAAATAATATATGTAATAATTATGGCCACAAAGATGAGGACAATAGTCCGAATAATGTAAATAATGTACATAATACCTCATCTCAGAAATATAGACAAATAGCATTTGGTATATAATTTTTATCAAAACCTGGCCGTTTTGACGTAATTGGTCGATATCAACATACCCGAGGGATTATCCAAATATATATAATTACATTTAATTACACTTTGAAATGGCCATTATACGCTTTAATGAGCGTGAATCTGCGCGCTCATATCAATGCATACCTCTGTATTTTGACAGATGATTTTTATCAAGGAGGTCTTTCCGGTATGTGTGTCTCCCACGGCAACCACCTACAAGCAAACAATTGAAAATATTGCTAAATGAATGGACACATTGTTCTTTCATATCTCAATACATTCGACACAAGCAATAAGAAGCTTTAAATCAAACTATTCTTCATATGTGTACAAGGTTAAACGACTGCCATGCTACTGCTTACATTTTACACGTGTTTAGATTTTAATGATTATACTTCTACATATATATATATAATAAATATATAAAATAGCCGCATATTAATCATTGAAGCATTGTTGGAGAGAGTATTAAATTTTCATCCCATTTTTGAAATGTTAGTATCTATGTGGTGAATCATTTTGGATACAGCATTTTTTTTTTATCTTCATTTAACTTAGAGCACAGGATGTACAGGTTGCGTGACGACTATTGGAACGAAAAATGGAATCAGTTTGCCGAGTTCAAATTCCAACCCATCTTCCTGCGTACAGTTTCAAGCAAATACCGTTGGGAAAGCCGTGAATCCGTCCATTTGATTTTCCCCGGTTTAGCTGTTTAAGTAGCAAGTAGGTGTTTACAGAGTGGAGATGCAAGCTCCATGCCTAACCTTCCAGTTATTAATTCGGTGTTACTCTTCTCCTTGACTAGGCGCCAATCAAGGCAATCTGCCGATAGTTGAGGAGAAAAGAGATGATTTCATGCCTGTCTTCATGAAATTAGTTCGAGCGAAACAAACTTTTACGGCCATAACATTGAAGACACCATGATGTAACCGTCCGATCACCGAACATGAATGACCGCTTGTGAATACCAGGTTCTGCAAGTCCCTACCAACCCGCATTGAATTAGTGCAGTAAGGTTATGGCTTATTCCTCCCTATGAACGGCAAAGATGGCGAGATCTGGGGAAAGCCTACCCCCAAAAAAGGATGTTCACAGGCTGAGAATAAGAACACAAACTATCTCAGCCGGAATTTAAACTCAGCTCGACGATTCCGTTTGCCGTACCACTTCCCGTTAGGTCACTCTTAGCTCTTCTGTCTCCATCGAACGCCAATATTTAACCTGCTTTACGACACCAGTGATGGTGATGAGAAGGGGTTATGATCAGTTTGTGAGAATACACATGCCCAACGGAATATTCTTCTCATTTTTCTACTTTCACTGAACGAGTCTTACTATCATCGCCATAAAATAATTTTATGACTCTTCCCAGCATCACAAATTTAGGTTTAGTGGCTGTACTGATAAATTATCAATTACCTCCCCTTAAGATCTAGGAGGTATAAAAAGCACCCTTTAATATCCGTCAGTAGACGAGTAGACAGAGTAAAGTGCAATAAAGTTTTGGTATAAGTTTATTCACTGGTTCTGTTTTTACTACAGTGGGATTTTTTATCAGCTTTATATTCTCTAATTTTGTTAAGAAACCTAAGTTCATATAATTCTTTACATTGTTCTCTCAAACTTAATAAATATCAAAGCTCACAAAATTTATTTAACATGAGCTTCGATTGGAATTAACATCATCAGATCTCAATTTTCAGCTTTTCAAAGTCGGGTGCGTACAAACACGATCTGATAACTAATTAAACGTCCCCATGTATTCACCATCTAAGCTTCATATTAGAGTATTTTATGATTAATATTAAATACTTAAAAACACCCACTTATTAACAAGAAATAAAAAAAAAAACTTCCATAATAAGATTACACGGCCAGCTAGAAAGAGTCTGTAAATCTAAAACGAATGAGTGTTCTGTTCATCCCCTTAATGCAATGTTTACAAATCTGATGTTACGGAAACATAAACAAGTAAAAATTAACTCCTTGATAGCTTTTTACCTAAATATATCCAGTACAGTCAATTCTACTCTATTTAGGTAAATTTATAACTTTAGGCTATTTAAATGCTTAGTCATTACATTTTGACACACTACACGAAGATATTACTTTTTAAACTGCCTCTCTTGTTTTATGTCAAAAGCTAAAACGATTTAGTTTCTTTTTAAAAAGTCGTTTAGATGCTTATATTGATTATATGTTTTGTTAAATCATGATCTTTGGCTAACAAAACAGGAGTTATTATTTAATTCATTACATTAGGATTTTTTAGTTATTCTACCGTGTGTTTAAAGTATTCAAATTTTTTTTTATCTAAGAATAAATTTAGATCTTTAACTAAATTTAGTAGTCTTTTGCATTGAGAATTTCAAAAATAAGTAATTTCTTCTTTGTTTTTACGTTACATTATTAACTAGAACTAATTTTAAACTTCCATCGGGATTTAAGGTCACACGTTTTTTATCTTCAATACATCAGTGGTTACATTGATAAATTTATTTAAGTTAGAATATATATCGAACAGTATAACAGAAGTAATTATACTATCATTTACAACAGTAAAGAAATCAATAAAACAAGTTGCACAAAGGAATTTCTTTTAGGACTTAGACAATTGAGAACATTTATAAGTCAAACAACAGGATTTTACTGTGTCAGGGAATTAAAATTGAAATTCAATCTGAAAAAGTAAAATAACTTATCTCCATTCATAAAAAAAGCAAAGCCTGTTTCTCTAGACAATAATTCAAACACATCGCACATTAAATAAAAAAGATTATTCCGTTAAGAGAATAATTTCCTTTAGGCTTTAGAGAAAAATTCAGTAGAGATTTTGCTTATAGTTTGCTCTTCAATTTTAATGATTGACCTTTGAGGAATCTAAATTAGAAAATTCTTTCGGTGTTACTGCGAAACGTTAGATAAGGCTTTTGTGGGGGTTATATAGGGGTTTACAGGTGGTTATATTCGGATAATGTCCTTAATCCAAATATACACCAATTCTTTTGGCCTTTTAGAAATACATGCAAAGATAATTAGCATAAAGATACGTTTTACATTTTATATCACTTAAAATAAAATATACAATATTTAAAAGAGTTAATAACTTCATATCAGAAAGTTCTCGTCTAAGTCCTTTAGCATATAATAGAGTGACGAAGGGAGAGAATTGTGATAAGATGTGGAAATTATTTTTTCTGCGAATGGTCAAAGAAATGTTTCATATCTACAAAAAGAATTATTACTAGGTTTTTCCAGGCCTTTCCGATATATAGAGAGTTGGGAAAAGAAAGATGTAAATTTATTATCGTGTAGGAAGTAGGGGATGGAGCCGATTTTCTTACGAGAAAGTGTATAAAGCAAACGAAATCCGGCCCCAAACAAGGATACGCACAGCTGTGATCAAGGTCCACGCCACTCTCGCTTGTGAACTTTACGACCTCATACTAAAAGCGACAGCGCTGACAAACTTCAAAGAGACCGCTTCAGAGTACGGCAACATTGTCCACAGTAAGAAACAAATTCTATCTCTTGTATCCTCTTTACTATGAACCACGTACACACGTGTTGACTTTTTCACACAAACACAAATATAACAACATTTCATTGTTTCTCACATACGTACACAAAGAGAATTTATATTTTATTTCAGAATTTTATTAACCCAAACAAAAAACATTACTTTCCAATCTAAGACCAATTGCTTGTATTCTTGTTACATTAAATTAATGTTCATTTGTTGAAATGACGTTATCTATTCTACTGAATTTTATTCTTTCAATGAAAATTCTTTGATTATTCTAAACGGCCGAATTACGCGCAGCCCCACAACAATATTTTATGTTATTGTATCGAATCCCGACACTCCGAATTTTGACATTCCAAGCTCTTATTGTTCAACTTTCTTCAAACAGAAAATCTTTTTAAATGTTGAAAACAACTTCAATAACTGCAAATAAATGTCTTTTAAAAATCTTTCTACTTTTACAAACATTTGATGAAACTAAATATAAACAGTAAACACAAGGTTGACCCAATGGGTCACAGGTGGTCGAGTACAATTTATAATTACAATTCATTGAGTAATATTTACCCCCACGAGTTTATATTTATTTCAAAATCAACAGTATGTTTGTCGGCTAAAATCTGAATATTATTACTTTATAAATAGATAACAATCACACTAACTTGGGTTGTAGATGAATAATTTTTATTCATTCTTATTACTACTGTCATTTGTTTCTTCGAATTTATTTAGATTTATTCAGTCATTTTTCATATCTAGCAGACGACAATTGTTGTCGTCAGTATTTATCATTACAAAAGGTGTCCATTTATCATTACAAAAGGTGTGTATATTTTCACTCCTACGTAACGATTTAAAAAATACTTTTATTCTGCATATTAAATAAACATTCATCTGAAATTAGCATATTTTAATTTTTTTTCTGTGAAATCATTAATAGCCAATGTCAGTTTTCTATATCTGAAAAGAAAATCAAGTTTCATTCACAAGAACTTTCAGAAACGCATATTTTTTCAGAATAATTATCCAATCTGCAAAATATTTTTAAAACAATTACAAAACGTTATAAAGAAAAATTCCTTTTTTTACATTAGAATTTTAACATAAAAATCTTCTTGCAAATTATAAGGATTTTTCTGTCTAACATTTTTGCTAATTATCTTTTATTTTTGGAAGGAAAATATTTTGACATTATTTAGAAACTACCACTTTCTTTTTCTTATGTCACTGTAATTTATTTACAAGATTAAAAATTGTACTTATCAAGTAAAATCTTAGACGACTGACCCTTATCTTTTGCATTGGTTTTTCTTTTTCTTTTTTTTTCTTTTTTTTTCATCTTTTTGTTGTTAAGTTTTAAAACACGGAGAAAAAAGAGAGGATACAGACAGATATCGTTCTTTTATTTAGTTTTCTAACAAAATTAAAATAGCAAAAACTAAAAGACAAAAAAAAACATCTGTATGGATTGGAATTTAAATTTCTACTGGAGCTATATAACAAAAAAGCAGACGATCCAAAAGAACCTTAGAGTCACCAACTTTAAATTTATAAATCGATTTTTATTCGCCAATGATTAACCAATCAGACGAGATGTTATTAATATTCTCGATCTGTAAATGATTCACTAGACTTGATTTAAAGAACATGTTGATGTTTATAGCGCTTTAAAAAGTGTATTGTTATTATTTAGGTGTCGACAAAATGGCTAGAAAATCTTTAGAATAGAAGAATAAGTTCACTAATAGAATTTCAATAGAAGAATAAGTTCTTTAATACAATTACCTTTATCCATTCAATTGAACTGATAGCGTCTTTGTAGTCTTTGGTTAAATTTCCTCTCATTCTATCCATGATTATTATCGACCTTTGGCATACGTTACTATGGAGATCATTCAAGGGAAATAATACAATTAAAACTATTAAGAGTTGTCTTTCATGAAATCTAATTCTGAAATAAAGATTTTTTTTTTCAATTTACTTATTTATGCAGACGATTTTCTGTCAATAGAGATTTTTGATCATTCTGATGTCTTTCCTGAATATGTCAAGGTTGTTGCTGAGCAGCTCTAACAGAATTTGTGGAGTGATTTGTCGAACGCCTTTGCGTAGTCTATAAAACACAGGTACCACGTTCTTCTGCGTTTGTATTGCTCTTTAATATTCTGGGTATAAATATCGCGTTCCTTGTTCCGGTGTCTATAACAAACCCGCACTGTTCTTGTCCGATCTCTGGCCTGATTCTGCTGTGCGCTCTATTTATCGGATTATGAATGATGAGCTTCATTATGTGGCTCCTTAGGCTGATTGTTCGGCGGAGTTTATTTTCGTTTGCGCCTGGTTTCTTAGGCATTATAATGAAATCTGCTTAGGTCTTCCGGTATATCCCCACTGTTGTAGATTTCATTTATTATTTCCGTAATCTTGTCTATGCCAAAATCATCTAAAGTTGTCAACATCTCTTACAATTCCGCCTGGCCCTGCCGCCCTGTTTCTGTTCAATTTGGCCAGTGCAGCTTCTACTTCGGTTTTTAGAATTTCAAGACCGTCAGTAATTCTGTGTATTGTCGATTGTCGATTACCGATTGTTGTCTTTCATCGTGGAAGAGTTCGCCAATATATTCGTTCTAGCGCTGAAGAATTTTTTCTTTCTTTAATACATGAGCGTTCCAGCCTTGGATTTTATGCATCTTGTTGACGAGCATGTCTTCTATTAGTTCCCTTATTTGCCATTGCATATCTCATTTGTGGTACTCAATCTCTTTATTTCTGCACATTTTTCATTTAGCCATTCTTCTTTTTACTTTCCTGCATTTGGTACTTATTTCGTTGTGTGGTTTTTTATATTCCGTTCTTGGCAAAATTTTCTACCTCCTTTGCATCATATCAAGAATCTCATCTGTAATCCATTTTCTTCTTCTTCGTCCATTTTCCTTTGGGATATCATTTGCTGATGTCACCAAAGGTTCTCTTAGTATGTCCCATTTTGAGTTTCCATTTCCATTTTGTCCCTCGTATCTTCTATCCACACTGTCCATACATTTTTTTCCTTTAGGTTCGGGTCGCTCAGGAGTTTGTTATATTGCAATTTGAGTGCTGCATTAGGCTTCTTCAGTTTTCGTAGTTTCATTTTTATGAGCCCGAAATGTGACTTACAGGTCGGGGACACTAAAATCAAGCGGAAATATAAATATTTGGGAAATGTTCTGACAGAGGACAGAAAATGCGGCGCTGAAATCCAAAGACTTATTGTAATGGCCAAACATGCATTCCAAAAGCTAGGCAGAGTATTACGATATAGAAGGGTCACATTGGTAACAAAGAAAAGGGTACTGAATTGCTACTTGATATATGTCCTCCTTTACAGCAGCGAATTTTGGACGGTCTCCTCAGAGATGAAGAAGAGACTCAGAACAACAGAGGTGTGGTTCTACAGAAGGATGCTAAGAATGCCATGGACCGAACATGTGAACAACAAGGTTTTAGAGAGGATGCAAACAAAGATGAAACTTATACTTAACATCAGGGAGAGTCAGATGAAATTTCTGGGACACGTAACGAGAAAAGAGGGTTTGGAAAATCTGATACTCACAGGACGGATAGATAGTAAAGGGGACAAGGGAAAACAACGCGTGATATACTTAAAGGGGTTAAGCAAGTGGATGGCATAACAGAGTCTGGGAGAAATAACAAAAAGACAAAACTTATTGAAAGCTATAAGGGACAGGAGGGAGTGGAGAGCCATGATCGCCTACGTCCTGAAGAGACACGGCGCATAAGAGGAAAAGAGATGTTCAAGAAACCATAAAAATATCAAAGAAGTGCAACCGCTGAAGTTAATAATGAAACAGTTATACTAAAATATGTTTTGTTATATGTATTTGTTATATATAAATTTTTAAAAATCATTATTTCATAACATTTATAATGTTTTAACAAAAGTACATAAATTGTCCAGAAGGGCGTTATACGGTGTCTTTTGTTTCGCATTTTGATTACATTTAATTTAAATTTTGGACGTGCTAGAAATTATTAAAAAAAATGTAAAAAAATATTCAAAAAATACTTTGATCATTCCTCTTGATAATAACATTAACATTTAGACATTCAGAGTCTGATCAGCTCTGAAGGGGTCGATTTGGTGAGGTCAGTATGATGTTTGAAAGACCCGAAACTGCCCAATGATTCTTTTCCAGAACATCACTGACGACGCCCTCTAGCGCTAAAAGAGCGTATATTCAAAGCAGACGATAAAAAATTATTTTCATCAAGTTTAAGGCCTTTTTATTCATGGTATGCTATTTTTTATTGATCTCATGAACATACCTACATTTAAACATCTGATTGGGTCGATCGTATCGAAATCCTTACGAGTTTCGTTCCTTTTATTTGCTGCTTGAAATATATAAACTGACATTTTTGGAATCGAGTAAAAGAGCATTTTTAAAACTAAATGATCTTCTCTATTTCTAGGAACATCTTTTCCATATTTTTCTATAGAGGATATATCTCTTTTTTTCTTTTTTTCATGAATTCTTTTGGATTTCACTAAGTGAATCTGAAAAAAGTGACATATTGATAACCTTAGATCAATGAGGTATTATTACCCAAAGATTCGGAAATGTTGAATAATACGCGCGAACTATTCGTACTTTTGCTACTAGTTTTTCTTTATACATACCCAAGGGAACTACATCAACTGAGGCAGTAGTAACAAGGTATAAAAGTTTTTCAGGGTTAAATTTGTGTGTATCGAAGCGTGTGTATTCTGTCTTTAAGGATCACCTTATTTTTTATTACTGTTTAAGAGACAGGAAAAAGTGGAGAGCTATGATCGCCTACGTCCTAAAGGGACACGGCACATAAAAAAAGAAAGATACGTCTATAAAAACAGTTTAAGTTTATTAATAGATGTGAAATTAAGATAAATTAATTTTATGGTTGCATAAAATTATTTTAAAAGCAAATTCATTATTATTCAGCTTAGTTTCGTTTGTAGTGTATCACCAAGTAATGAATGACTTCACTAATTATGACATACAAGACTAAAACTATTTAAACTCACTCTCTACAACATGCACCCTGCTCTAGTAATTTAATTACAAAGAACGACTCTATTATTGCCAGCCTCAAATTCGATCTCTATTCTTCCGCTTTAATATCTATTCCATATTGCCCAACCAAACTGACCAAATTTCTGTGCAGAGCCGAATACATTATTTATAAATTTGAATATCGTGTTAGCCAGTTAAAATTCATCTCATTTTATTGGATGTTAGAATTGCCATTTTGTTTATATGTCTTTTAATTCTCCTCACTGGTTTTGTTTGACGAGGAAGTTGCGTCAGCAAAAATAACAGAAGGTAAGTAAAATTCGTGTAAACTAAAATACAAGTGACTTTCCGTTGTGAATAACAACCGAGTTTTTTTTTTTTGTGTGTGTGTGTATCTTTTTTTATTGTGGAATTTTGAACTTTGTAATAAAAAAAAAACTAAAACCATAAGAAAAATTATTTTGAATTAAAACTAGTTTTGCTGTGTTCCAACCATTTTATCGTCTTACTTGAATTTTAGTAATTCAAAAAACTGTCTACTAAAAAAAAAAAAATATGGTGTTTAAGGTCATTAAAGTACATCTTGATTCTTAAAAAGCATTTAAGAGTATTTCAAACAACAGTCAACATAAGGTCTCAAATTTCATGACCTGACACGCTACTCAAATTTTAACATAAAATGTTCAATTTGTAGCTCAAATAAAACTCAAACCCTATAGTTCAATGTCCCCATCAAATATTTGTTGGATTTGGGATTTGTATATTCTCTCCTTTTTAAGGCAAAACTTCTAATGTAGAGCAATGTTGCGTGTGGGGCTTCAGTAAGCTACAGCTTAACTTTTAATATCGTCTTATTTAAACAGAACAATTTACGGTATTCGCATAGTCCTTCCATGTATACCTCTGTTTATGAATTCTTAACCTTTAAGGTAATCTTGTACTTAACCTGGGGTAAATTAAAATAAGCCTAATTTTCTTCGATATGTGACTAATGTTTAAAGATTATAACTTCTATTCTTGCAAAGAGCCAAGTACGTATTTAATTTGTCATTCACTAGTTCTTTAAATTAATGCTTACAGACTCGAATCTTGAAAGTTTCAGCAGTGAAACTTTCATTCGGTTTACCTCTCATCATGTATTAAAATCGTTGATATCTCATCATTAAATGATAACGTTCATTAATTTCTGACTAGTTTGCAAATTACTACAAAATGTATAACAATTTCAGTGTAGTTCAGTCTACTTTTTGGATGAAGCATTGTCGACTATCAAAGCGTTTCTTCAGAATTTATTTCTACAAGAATTTATTTTAAATGTTGTATATATATATATATATATATATATATATATATATATATATATATATAATGCGTGTGTGATCTCTTTCCAGATAACGAACATCAAAATAGCGATATAAATCTTAAAAATGCGGGGGGATTTGTTACGTAAATAGATTCTCTAGGCAAGCCGAAAAATACAGGTAAAGAGAATTTGAAAATGTAGACCTGCTTTAAATTCATATTTTGCAGTTGTCTAAAGTTTTGTAAGTTATATTCTAACACAACACAGGAAAATGTAAGTAGAAATTGACTTTAAATTGTATAAATATTAACTTTTTATTTTATTCATTTATTTTCATATTAATACTGAAATGAGAGCTCTTAAAATGCATAAAATGAAAAATATATATTGATATTCCGATGATCTGGAATGCTTATTCGATAGTAAAAGGAAAGAAAAATTATTTTCTTGAAAAGGTCGTTTTTTGTTTTTGTTTTTCCTTTCCGTTTCACAGTAAA